TAGTTCTGGATAGCGATAAATATGCAGAGTTTCTACTATCAGAAAATACTTTCTTCTTTTGATCTTCTTTGGGTATTGCGAGTCGTAGACGTAATTATTACAAATATGTACTTTTACGGCTTAAGCATGCGTTCATTATTTTAATTGTAGTTTTGGTTTAATATTTCGTCAATTTTGATTTCCATTCCTATCACTTTTTTAGCTCCTGTATGTATAATCTCTATATATGTTTATTGGTGCCTTAGTCATATTATATTCGGATTACGGTGAACAAAATTTAAGATTTTTTTGTCTACCTATGCTGATAGCCTTGAGAGGCTATTTCAGCTTCGCCCTAACATGTAGGTGAGCTCACGGGGCTCAAACCGGAGTGTTGTTAACACTGGCCCTAACAAGCCCAGTGCTTCGCAGAATCTACCACCGGATTGGAAACGCGACCCACTGTGAAGATCCGGCGAGAAACTCAGTGGGCTGAGTCTGTGAGTTAATTCGCTCGTCGAGCCCTTCGTCGCAAGCGACGGGTTCGACGAGCACGGTGACCGGTGCTTGTGGTACTTAAAAGTATCGTTAATGGATATAATTTAAGATATTAAATAGTCACAATAACTATCACCTTACAAATAATATTCATTACATTACTGCATAATATACTAAAGCAAATGATAAGCATCTAACCTACATCTCCGGCTCGTACAAACCCACGCCGTCGAACCTCTAATATTAAACGGTTTCCCATTGTACATTTACAATAAAACTAACGAACTGACTCGGGTCCGCTCGGCTGTTGCAATAATTTCACAAAACAATCCATTGACGAAACATTAAGCTTACCGAGCCACTCCTACATAGTCGTTAAAGATATAACTAGAAGCTATTATATTCATTTTACACAAAGATTACATAGTGACTACGAGATTAAACCGTTAAACCACATATATAATTTGCACAATAAGAAGAAGAGGTAGACCTGAGAAAAAATGGATGGATTGTGTGAAAGGCCACAAGGCTGTCTGCTATCTGCTTCCAACGTATGCTCACGTACCTCGGTCACATCGCTCGTAGAGACCCCGATAATTTGAGAAGCTGATGGTAGTTGGTCAGGCTGACAGCAGATCACGCGGACGCTCACCTACCCGCTGGTCTGATCTAGTAAAGACGCTCAGTGGCCTGCCAATAAGTGAGGCTATAAAGATCTGGTGGTAGGACCTCTTGTGAGTCCGCGCGGGTGGGTACCACCACCCTGCCTATTTCTGCCGTGAAGCAGTAATGCTTTTCGGTTTGAAGGGTGGGGCAGCCGTTGTAACTATACTTGAGACCTTAGAACTTGTATCTCAAGATGGGTGGCGCATTTACGTTGTTGGATGTCTATGGGCTCCAGTAACCACTTAACATGAGTTGGGCTGTGAGCTCGTCCACCCATCTAAGCAATAAAAAAAGCAAGACAAACATTCCATAATATCATTCAGGGTCTCGTTTAAAGCAGGGCTGTGATGATGTCCACGAGCTCTAGACCAGAATTAAACAAAAACGTTAATCAATAACTTCACCCAACCAACCTCTTGATTGTCGTACAGATTCTGTTAATGGTATCAAAATATGCATTAAAAATTAAAAAAAATATAAAATGTGGTGTCGTGGGACACCAGGTAGGAACGAAGTTCCTTCGGCTAATGTAGAATCGACACAAATTGCAAAAAAAGAAATGGTGCTCAATTTTATGTAGGTTTTCTTGGTTTTTCTCTTAAATTTTGCTGATTCGTTTTTATTTAAGTACGGGAAAGTATTTAGGAAATTCAGTATTTTAGGAAACAATAAATTACGTAAAATAAAAAAAATTGTAATTCAAATTATCAATTAAAATAACAAAATATATCTCTTTATTTTTGGTTGACAACATAAAATTACATAGAAATAGAAATAATTACTAAATAGAGAGAAAAGGGATTAGAGAACGAAAAGAAAGAAAGAGAAAGAGAAAGGTATTATACACTACTCGCTTGTGTATGCGGCTGTCGCGCCTGCGCACGTCTCATTTAACGGTTTTATTCCACGCACTTTTTTCCACCGTCTCATTTAACGGTTTTATTCCACGCACTTTTTTCCACGGATTTTTTCTTACGGTTTTACTATCACATTTTTTTCAGTTCGGTCGCGCAGCAAAATCTCTATCCCCTCCAAGCCTGCCGTAAGGAACTTCCTTCCAACAAGCTAAGTTTCATATCGATCTTTTCGTAGCTTAACAAGAAACAACTTACTACTTGCCTTTGATAGCGGAAGTTGAAGCCATATTCTGCGGTGGTATAACTTCAAGATGCACTCGCAGTAATCGAATTCAGGACGTGCCTAGTCTCGAAACATTCATTATTCTTAATTCAACAAGATTATTCGCATTTCGTTTACAGAACACGATTTAACGGATATGAATTATTACCGTAATAAACGGAACATACGTTCTTCGATTTACCAAAAGGATTCGAAACGTACGAATACCCAATTCCAATTCGAGAATATTATTTATTCAGTCAGCTTTCTCCGCAGCCTTCGTGAGCAGATCTTTGGCCGTGTGCTGAGTAATGTCAACTTGTACATTATTTGTGTTACAGTTTAAGGGATAATCATTGTTCGTGTGGCTTGCTAGAGAATCGGATGGAATGCGAAAAGCTTAAGAACGCGCCGCGACTTGTAATCTTTAGCATTAAATAAATAGGTTCAAAGACCAAGGCGTTACATCGATGCGTTAACATCTTTTTTTAAAAACATAACTTCCAGGGATATTACAATATCTATCGGATAGCCTTGAGAGACTATTTCAGCGTAACCTTAGCTAGTAGGTGAACTCCCGGGGCTCAAACCGGAGTGATACTAACACTGACCTTAGCAAGAGCAGTGCTTCGCAGAATCTACCACCAGATCGGAAACGCGACCCACTGAGAAGATCCGGCGAGAAACTCAGTGGGCTGTGTCTATGGGTTAATTCGCTCATCGAGCCCTTCGTCGCAAGCGACGGGTTCGATGAGAACGGTGACCGGTGCTTGTGGTACCTAAAAGCACCGTTAATGGATCGGGAGGATCCGTAATGACGTGTTGGGTACCAATGTTTCCGGTGTTTCGGAATCACAATAATAAAACGAAACTCATACGAGATTAAGTCGTAACTATTAATCGTTCACAAGATCTAATAAATAAAATACTTCACCTATCGCAGCCCACTGAAAATCTTTACCGAGCAAAAAAAAAACCTAAACATCAAGTTAAAAGCGGAATTGCAAAATGGAATTGAATTCCCGAGAGCCGCTCTCGACTTTAAAAGCATCCGTACAAATAAAACAGTTCCTAGTTGCAAGCGTTTAAGCTATACGCACTTGGTGTAGCTGTGTCGTACTTCCCCACATCTGTAAAATGGTCTAATCACAAGCGTCTAACACAAAAAAAGAATGCAGCCAAAGTTGTCGACGTCTATGTTTGGGATGGGGGGCGGCAGAAATAATGAGAGTTATAGAGAGGGTTAGGATACTTATCTATGCGAACAACAATATTTTTTTAAATAAATAACAAGTTCCAACAGGTTAATACTGTATAATTTCTTTGAATGATCTTGTAGATGTGTGTATTTATTCGTACGAGGTAGGAACTTGCACGGATTTAGTTAGAAGTTTAAGAATTTTGTTTGTAAATCAGCCAACATTCTCCGAGCAACGTAACTCTTTTTTTTTATTGCTTAGATTGGTGGACGAGCTCACGGCCCACCTGGTGTTAAGTAGTTACTGAAGCCCATAGACATCTACAACGAAAATGCCGCCACCCACCTTGAGATATGAGTTCTAAGGTCGCAGTATAGTTACAACGGCTGCCCCACCCTTCAAACCGAAACGCATTACTCCTTCACGGCAGAAATAGGCAGGGTGGTGGTCGCTTATTCAATTGAAAAAAAAAACGCGAATGTGCAGTTATATGTCAGACCACTGGTATTTAGTAGTTGTTGAAGGTCATAGACGCAATGTGGTCGGAGCCGCTCTCTTTGAGGTCCGAATTGCTTAGGAAACAATATAGTTGATAGTTAGAAATATCTTGTAATGTTACTAATTAGTAAAAACGCTAATATTCCATCACTCGCACCACAGACGTCCAACAAAATCGTTTCTGCCATACAAACGAGCAATTTGTTTACACAAACAGTATGCTGTACCTTGTTTAGAAAATTGCATTCCGCTACTTGCAACTTTGTGTTTGTTTCCAAGTGAAATTCAACTTTTAATTTGTTTGTCGTTTGCATATCGATAGTTTCCTATGTGTGTGTTTACTTGAATAATTGTGTTTTATCATGTATGCAAAAGTCGCGCCGCGAAGGAATGCAGACGTTATTACGTAGGCGAATCTCTTGATTTTGTTACTCTGTGTGTCCTGTTTTGTAATGTACGTTCAATGGAAAGTCTTTGGTTTAACATCGTAACTGCCTCCGGGGCTGATCAGTCGTTTCTAGAGTTCAAATCAGCTCTGAAGCGCTCCTTGGAGTGCCATCCTTGATGGTTGTGACAGCAGATCACGCGGACGCTCACCTAGCTGGTCTGATCTAGTACAGACGCTCATTGGCCTGCCAATAACCTTGGCTATCAAGATCGCCGAGGACAAAAAGGATACTATTGGTGGTAGGACCTCTTGTGAGTCCGCGCGGGTAGGTACCACCACCCCGCCTGGTATAAGCAGTAATGCGTTTCGTTTAGTCTCTCTGTTTTAACGAGGCTTGAAAGGAGCCCTCACTGGTGGACTGTACTTTAATGATGACCGTAGTACGGTTACTGTCCATAAGTCATAATGACCACTCCACACTCTATACCAGGTGTGATTGTCTGCCTTAAATAAATATATTTCAATTATTTCGCTCAATCGTACCTAAGCGGCGCTGATGCGAAGCGGATGCTTATGGTTCTATATGTAACTTGATAAAAAATTTAAAAAAAACTTACCGACTGCGAAAATAAAGTGTTATTATTTTGTTACAGAAAGAAGAGCGACTTAACCATCAAAACTGGATACTACCAGCTAAAAGTTCCACCATGGATTCTGAGAGGTATGTTATAAGAATATTGAAATTTAAAAATTTTTAGTTAACTATAAATGTACATACACATATTCCTTTCAGTTATTGTTTGGCGCGAAGGCCAAAGTGATGAATTGGTTTCTTATTTTGGCAGCAATATAGAATCAATCAAATATAAATTGAAATTCAGACAATAAGACTTCTTAACTTACTTGGAACCTCTCAACTATGTATTATTTCAAGCTTTTGAGAGTTAAAATTCTTATATACGCAATCCTTCATCACACAGACTTCCGATCACCGTGCTTACGAACCCGTCGCTTGCGACGAAGGGCTCGACTAGTAAATTAACCCACAGACACAGCCCAGTGTGTTTTTCGCCGGATCTTATCAGTGGGTCGCGTTCCCAATCCCAGTGGTAGATTCTGCGAAGCACTGCTCTTGCAAGGGCCAGTGTTAGCAACACTCCCGGTTTGAGCCCCGTGAGTTCATCTATGCGTTACGGCGAAGCTGAAATAGCCTCTCAACGCTATCAACATAGGTAGGGGGGAAAAACACAGACATATCCACAAACTTATGGTCGATTCATTATCACTATATGATTAAATGTTTTTGGATAGTATTTTTTATAAAATTGTTTTTGAGATCTTACTCTAATGCAATGAGTTAATCTAAATGAGTGAATCTAAAAGAAATGAAATCCAAATTGATGTATTCAATTAATTTTATTTCGATTCAAATGCTTGTTTGACTGTACTGAAAGTATTCGATTGCACGGAAATCGTGAAATCAATTTGAAAATAAAGTGAAAAAATTAACCTTCTGGTCACTTTGGCCTATGACAATCGAACAATCTCCCTGAAATTATCTAATTAACGAATACAATTACAGCAGTAGTCAGAGAGAAAAGTACTAATATCCACTAAAATAACAGAAAACGTTATCATAACACTTGACCGAGTTGAACCCAAATTGAGTAGAGCTGTGTAACACTTGGAACTGATTACTGCTTCAACCTCACGACGACTCATAAAACCTTGCAACGCTCGCTTATAAAGTTGAAAATAAATACCGCATTCTTTATTGCACAAAGACAAGACGAGAACACGGGAACTTGCTGTAATGAACTTCAGAAGGGATGTATATTACACCCCTTCTGAAGGGGTGTAGTGTATATTACACCCCTTCTGAAGGGGCCCTTACGACGACTTTTAGCGACGAATGAAGAAGTTACCAAATTTATGAATTCTACAAATTATTTACTAACCATCCCATTTCGAATTTATTACTTTGAAACTATTTATTTTGTTAGACCTTTGTATTAAAAGTCACAGGAGCCCTAAATCGCGGGCCATGAGAGGCGTGTCAGCGATGCTTCCATTACAGTAATATAATAGTTAACTTGTTTGTATTCTGAATTATACGATATAAATCAAAACGAACTTTTGTGTTGCAAAATGGAAAAAAACAGGACGTGAAAATAGGTACAGGCTCACAAACGCCAACTAAAATAATGGAAATGGATGATAATTAGATAAGGTGAAACTGTTACCGATACGAATGTATGAACTAATATTCGAACCTTCTAATTTAAATGACCCAAATAATGTCCCGAACAGGACAGATTAATTTTTTTTTTATTAAAAACTTTGTTGATTGGAATGATTGATAAAAATAACTCGAACAAGCTTAGGTAAAGTCGCAGTGGCTGCACTTAGAATAAATTTGATGATAGTCAATATAAAGTTGTAGTTGCCAAAAGTAAAGTTAGTAGAACTACATTTTACAAAGTTTTACTGCTGAAACTTTTATGGCAAGATTGGTTGTATTAGACCCGCTTGATGTGAACATGACTAGTGAAAAATTCAATTACATTTATAGTATTACAAAATGTCACAACATAGATATTATCACTTTTATGTTACCACAAAAAAGACCTATTTTCCAAGACACGAACCACAATAACATGACACTTGTTGCTGGTCTCACGACCCTCATTACTGTACATAATAGCTGCTTCTGCTGTTCAACACTAGTTGAACGTTTTTTGATGCCGAATCAATTTCCTATCGGGTTCTATAATCATGTACAGGCTGTATGTACTTTATTTGGCTGTTTGAAGGGTACCTTCGACAATCGTTTAGTAATGAGTTTTAAACTCAATTCAAGTTTTGATCGCCTCTTTGGCAAGTGGCTAGAGATCCTGATTACCAAACCACAGGCTAGGATTCGATTTCTGGTTGCGTTCAGTATCTTTGTGAAAGATATTTTGATATTTGGGGTCTAGTGTACTTGCTTTTGTGCCTTAGTTAGTGTCAATTGAATATTGAATGATAACGGCTATTATTTCAGTAGATGAGATTCCCAATACTCCAAATATATTTTTACGTTCATCGTATTAATGGCAGATGGCGCTGCAGTCGGTATCTTGGTTATTTATCTTTCCTAGAAATAAATTATATGGCAAAACAACATTTGCCGGGCCAGCTAGTTCCTCTATAAATATTTGTGGAAATGGTAGTGCATTTTTAAACAGTTAATCAAGAGATTGTAGAGCTACGGTTTGTTTGACCTTGACCCGACCGAGAGCTACCGGTACCGTATTTGATAATTTTACCACATAGGTAGGGCTGGTATGCAACTAAAAGCTTAAGAGAATAGCTGTTACTACAGCAGTTTTTCCAGTTGATACTCTAGGATAAGATCAATAGAAAGAGAAATGAAATGTAGGCAAGAAAGAAGACGTCCTAACAATATAATAAAATCAAATATACCTCTCGCAGATCTTTTAGTTGTGAAGTCACGGTAATGACCGCCGATTCTTCATTCAGGGTAACCGATGAAGAACAATGTTTTTTTAATCAGCCTTTCAGTTAATGATAATTACGATTAGATAAAAAGCGACGGTTAGCTTGGAGTACGATTCGTTAAGAAATATTGCTATAGCCCGCATGGATATTTCCATTATGCCTTATTTCAACGCTGGGGAATCCGTTTACGGATAGCCAGTCGAGGGGGGTTACAGATCAGGTTCTGTTGGAATCCAACGCCTCCAGTGAAGAAAAGTATGGGTTCCAGTAACCACTTAACACCAAGTGGGCTGTGAGCTCGTCCACACATCTAAGCAATAAATAAAAAAAAGAGCTTTACCACTCCGACTTTACGAAGTCTTTGGTACCGGATAGTGCGCGCCGAAAATCTGATCTCCAAAACCTATTGCTGCCAAAAAACGACCAAGCATTCGGATCGGAAGGATGACACAACAATAATACAATAACCATTGACACTTCGATGAAGTAACCAAAATCGCTGTAAAGACCAAGAAAACGAAAGGGTGTCAACCCTATCACAACCAACCTTGTACAGTTTATTCAGTTACTGAGAATACAGAATTGTGCTGTTCCAACTCTGTTGCATGTTTAATTGGCACAGAGGGACAAAAAGACGCCTTCGAGTTATCTGAATTTGAAATGAATTTACCAGTTTTATTCTGTTAGTTGGTTACCATTTTCTTGGGTTCTAATTAAAACTGAAAGTTTCTTGTGCTTTATTTATCTTATATTTCTGTGTAATAACAAATTACCGACATTTTCTATTGATATGTTCATAAATTGTGGACAGACATCCAATGGAGCAAGAGTCTTGTCAAAATAGCTGATAGGGACTGAATTCGAAAGGCCAAAAATAATGGAGTGCATATGAAGAGACTTGCATTCTGCATTGGGTGGACACAGGCTTAGGAAGAATATACGAATAAGATATTCATTAGTAGGATTTTTTTGATAAAAACCGCTTTCACCACTGATAGTAGGTAATATAGTAAATCCGTTGGAGTATGCATCACCACTGCCTATTTCTGTCACAAAGCAGTCTTGCTGTTTGGAAGATGGAACAGCCATCAAACTGAGACTTCTATTCATATCTTGAGGTAGGTGAAGGCATTCATGCTATGATGTCTACGAAAACTGTAAGCTATTAAAAAGTATTGGTTATTTTTTTTGTAGACACAATAGATTTAATTAAACTATTTGTAAGCAGTACAGAAATAAACCGCAATCTTTGAGAAGATTCAAATCAACAATCACATATACATTACCGTAATTTCATTTACAAATTGCGTTTTCAATAATGAAGTCTGAGCGTGCCCACGGCCACGTGTCTGTAAACTGGAGCTTCGAAGCCGCTCTAATTGGTATGCAAATTAATTTCCGCGTTGCATCAATTTCGATTCCGCCTCTATCTAGAAACGGAGCAAATGTAATGAACAACCCGTTATCATGTTACGCTTGATCAGCGAATACAACGACTTTGTTTTTTTTTTTACTCGGGCGGTGGGTCGAGTCTCCTACGAGGTCCCCGCTGCGGGGTATGTGGGACTTGACGGTCTGCAGGTGTTAGGAGCGGACCGCGGGCCTAAGAAACGGAATTTAGGACCTTACCCACTAAACGACTCTCCTGCATTCTTACACTCGACGCCCAATATCTGCCCGGGGTAAGAACCCAGCTAGTGTAATGTAGTAGTAGTGTACAAAAATTATGTTAAGGGTAATAACTTTTTAACACAATATTTTGAACTTCATTTTTGTTGATGATTTCAAATGTCATCCATGTAAGAATGTGTTCTGAGTACGGAGTTATTGATAGGTACTTATCTGAACTTGTCTATTTCTGCAAAAGGTATACCTAGTGCTTTAAGAAGATCTAAAACCAAGTATTGATATTGATTGCGATTTTTTTTTTGTCACATTACAATTCGCTTCTGAGCAACTTTTATCAAAAAGTGCGTGGATTCGGACGTTTTTGTCGTACATTGCTCTCGGCAAAGGGTAGAAAATCGTCACGTGTACAAAAACTTCACGGTCTAGCGCATATGGGATCGGATTAAAGGGGATATTCGCTGTGGCAAAGTGGTATAAAAAATATATTTGTTTTGTTTCGATCGCCAGCAATGAGGCTTTGAATACTAATGGGGATTTCTATTCGGAAAACGAAATGAATCATATATCTATATGTGTTAACTATACAGTATC